CACAACAAAGGGACCGATGGCGCGTACTCATACATAAGCCATAATTTCCATTCAGAGCTGTTTGTTGCAGTTCTTTCTTTCGCTTTCCTAAGTACTACTCTGAAAAGCGTCGGTGCTGACGGCCGCCGACCCGCGGCTTCCGCATTGAAAAAATGTCTTTTGATGTTGGCCGGCGGTGTGCTGCTTTCGTGGGAAATGATGCGGCGATTTCTCAGGGCCTTCTGCGCACTTTTTCGGGCAAATCGGCAGGTACCTTGCACAACCGAGTTGGACCTCTCATCAGGTTTGTTGCATGGGCCAAGGCTCGCCAGTGTAAGCCCCTACCTTTCAGCGAGGCGCTTTTGTACGATTTTCTGCTTGCGTCCGAGAGCACTTGTGCACCGTCATTTGGAAAGGCATTGATGTCTGCACTTGCATTTTGCAAATTGTGCTGGGCGTTGAAAATGCTTCTGCTGCCCTAAGCAGTGGTCGGTTTGGGGGCCTGGCTCGCTCGATGTTCCTGAACAAAAGGAAACGACGACAGAAGCCACCCCTCACCGTCGATATGGTGAAGGCCCTTGATCTCCGAACGTGAAAGTGACGTCGACCGTCTGTGTGCGGGGTTCTTCCTCGTGTGTGTTTACCTCCGTGCAAGGTATAGCGATGCCCAAGGTCTGAAGAATCTTACAATCGATGAGCCTGAAGGTTTTGCTGGTCGCTTGTCGGGATATTTTCAAGGAGAGACTTCACGGACTAAGACGAGCTTCTCGCTGGAAAGGAAAACGGCACTGCTACCAATGGTTGGGCCGCTCTTCGGCTTGACTGCGGTTCCTTGGTTTAAGACGTGGTTAGGTCTCCGAATTACATTGGCATCCCTGAAGGCGAGGACTTTCCTTTGCTGCCGAGTCGTGGGCTAGAAGGGGGTTGGGCTCCGATCCCGCCTTCGGCTACGGTGGCCGCTGCTTGCTCCGGGGGATCCTTCTCACTCGGGGCTTCCCTGGGGCACGCAGGCTCGGGACTCACAGCTGCAAATGCACGTGTCTTTCTTGGCTGTCGAAGCACGGAGTTGATCCTTTGCGCCGGCGTGTTTAGGGGTATCACAAAACCCGCAGGACGAGATGATGCACGTTTATGGTCGTGACAATGTTCTCCAGCCCTGAGGTCGCTGGAGGCTGTCATCCAGGACATCAGGCAGGGCCTGTTTTTGCCGGACGTCACACGTTCGGGTTACTTCCCGAACCAGCCGCAGGCGTCGAAGAACCATCGGAATCCGAAGTTTCGCTGGATGAAGAGGACAATGTGCAAGACTTGAGGGCGGAGGAAGCGGCCGCAGATCAGGTTGTGCCACCTTGGGCTGAACTTGTGGTTCAGGATCCCGATGCTCTTGTTTATGTCCGACACATAACTTCAAGGAAGTTGCACCGCCTCGCTGACGAGAGTGGGAATCGCCTGAAGTGCGGCAAGGCGTGCGCCCGAAAGTTCGAGAGGCTCAGTGAGAAACCAAGGTTCATGGCTGACATGTGCTTGAATTGTTTCAAGTGAGCCCGGCTCAACTGAGGGGCAGCCGGATCACTCGGCACATGGGTCGCGTCATTTGTGACGCAGCCGGATAGACTCGGCTATGCTTTCACCGGTCTGCGCGGTGAAGTTTGATTATGTGGGCAGTTGCACCGGTTCTCGCGGTGCTTTGGTGAGCCGGTCCACTCTGATGAGCTGAAAGAGCTCGGGTTAACCGGCGCACGCGGTTTTGGACGAGTGGTCATCCAATGACTTGAAAATGTGGCTGTACGGTGCTGTGATCCCGTAAATGCTGCGATTTGCATACGACAACGCCTGTGGTTTGTGAGTGATAACTTGAACATACAGTCTTGGCTGAAGGATCGTGTAGTGCACTTGCAGGACCATTCGCCATGGCCATCACCGAGAGCAAGGCAAACTTTTCTTCCAGAGCGACTCCGTCTTGAAGAAGTTCACTGATGCCGGCGTTGATTGCATGAGCAAATTTGCCTTCATTAGTGCTTTCGTGCCTGGCAACACTGACGAGTCCCCTTTCACCACTGCAGTTGCTGGGGTTTTAGGGCGCGATGCAATGTGGCAGAGTTGAGCGTGCTGCGTAGGCTTCTTCATGAAAGCTACAACCTTACTGTCTCAGAGCTTCAAGGAAGATTCTGCCCCTAGGCGGTTGGGCCAGGCTTGCTGGCTTGAACATCCATGGCCCGACTCTTCCTGGTCACTCAGTTATTGACCGATGCATGAGGACAATTCTCTTTCGTACTTGCCTTTGCAGTCTTGTCCCTGCCGGGATGATGAAGTGAAGTTCAAGAAGGACCGTGATGACAAAATGCTTGCTGTGGATGGCACAGGACATGTGTCCCTTCGGTCGCAGGCCGTGAAAGTGGCGGCCGATGTGTCCACTGACCTTTTTGCTTAAGCGTGCACTTACTCGTAGGGGGCTTGCGTTGGACCAAGCTGGCATTCTAAGCTTCGCTGAGCATGAGCGTTGGTCTGAGGCTCTGTTTCAGGCTCGTTTTCGCGATCCGCCAGACCAGTATGCCCGTGTCACGCTCCAGCAACTCATCCAGGCTGACAGGCAGGTTTTTGTTGAAGCTGCTGATCGGACACGCCAAGGGATTCAGGGAGTGGCTTCCGGGCGACCAGTCGATCGCATCTGGAGTGACGCCATGTCTTGCAACAATGTCACTCACTTGCTGCAGCCCCTGCCTTTGCCTCCGCCAGCTCCTTTGCGCCCGCGACCTGGGCCCTATGATGACCGCAGGGGTTTGAAGGGTCGCGGAAAAGGTAAGGGGAAAGGTAAGGGTAAAGGTAATGTTCGTATGCCTGCTGAGCTTTCCGATGGGGTGCCAGTCACGACCCGGGGGTTGCCCATCTGTTTCGACCATAACTTGGGGCGGTGCCAGCGTCCCGTCACTAGTGGAAAGTGCGATCGTGGCCTTCACATTTGTTGCATCAGAGGCTGCTTCAAGCGGGATCATGTCTATGCCACTTGCCCAAAACATAAGAAGGAGTGACTAGGCTCTGAGGCTCAGGTCCACGTGACTGATGATAAATGCAGCGCAGCTTGGTGAGGAGCTTGTGGTTTCTTCTTCTGATGATGAGGTCCCTGAAGGGGAGTCATCACCGAAGCACGTCCCGTGCCCCGACCTGGTTCCGCCTCAGCCGCCTTCGGCCAACCCCGAAGATTTTGCGTCTCAGTTGCTCGATAGGCAGTGGCTTGAGGCGAGTGATGTGCTGCAGCTTTTTGAGATGTTGCCAATGGCCGCGCCCCAGCGTGGAACTGCGGGCAAGGCTTTTTCTACCGGAGCGTTTGCTCGGGTCAAGGTTGGGTTGCGCACTAATGTTGCTGTTTTCCCTCAGGCGTCCCACGTCTTTGCATCGTTCGTGCGCCAATCTGCCCCAGGGCATAAGTTCACTTCAATCGTGGTTTTTGAGGGGGTTCGCGCAAAACCCCACCGTGATCAGCAGAATTCTTGGGTGCCAAATTTGGTTGTGCCTTTGTCGGGTTTTGAGAAGGGTGAAATTTGGGTGGCTGCTGATTCTGGGGCTGTCTCTCGACAGGTCAATGGCCAGCAGCGGAAAGGGGTTCTGTTGCCCGTTCCTCTCCCTCCCTCTCTCTCTCTCTCTCTCTCTCTCTCTCTCTCTCTCTCTCTCTCTCTCTCTCTCTCTCTCTCTCTCTTTCTCTTGAGCGGGGCGGCTACTCTTGTTTCACTTGTACAGACGCTTGTTTATAGCTTGATGCCTTTGAGTCAAATATCTCGGGCATTCTACGTGCCTCGATCAGAGTAGCTGCTCTTGAGGTGCTCCTTTGATTGTGGTCCGTAGCTGATTCTCTTTCTGAGCTGTATGTGCGCACGTTGTAGTACTTCTCACGTGTCTTGTTGGCTACATCATGCGTGCGTCCTTCCACATGGCCTAAAAGGGGGCTCGCCAGGTGTGATCTTTCTTAATTTTGTGGCTTGAATTTGAGGACGAACAAGGGGGGCTTAGGCGGTGGCGGGAACCAGGCGCCGGCCAGTTTGCACCGCAAGGTTTGCACCATCGCATTGGTAGGACTGACTATCGCCCAGGCATCCAACATGGCGCTCAGCCAGCAGTCCGCGTCCGCCATGACTCTGACTGCAGGAAATTGCCCATTTAGCACGAATGGCAAAAAAGTTGCGGCTCCCTTGAAGAGCTCCGCGAGTTGACACGCCTGTGCAACAAGGATAGCAGCCATGAATTCAGTGCCCCAATCAATGTCATGCTCAGGTGATCGCTCTACTGCGAAACCGTCAGACAGGCAGCCAAGTTTCGTGAGACAGCGCAGTGCCCGACCGACCCGGCACCCTAAATTGGCATGGGGAACGCCCAGAGAGAGATACGCTCCAGGGAAGTTGGTCGGAAGGAGCAGACGCTGATTTGCCAAGCTCAACAACTGATCGTTCGTCATTGGTTCCCACCCATAGTTCTCGATGAACCGAAGATAGGCTCCTTTTGAGAGTGTGAGTCGAGGAACACACAAGGGACGTACCTTGATGTTACTCCCGATCCGTCTGCCAAGAGCGAGGGCAGCTTGCAGAAGCGCAATGGTGCTTCCTTCCTTACCCTTTGAGAACTCTTCCGGCGGGTTGGGGGAGTTGGGGGCTGCATCCAGCCGCTCTAGCTGCTAACATCTCCTTCCTCAGTGTACGCAACTTCGTCCGGCTCACAGCAGTAGCCGCAGCCATACAACCGCGTCCCTGTTCATTTTCTCAGAAGGGCTCCGCAGACGTCATCCCCCCCTTCCAGCGGAGGCTTACTTGCAGCCAAGGTGCGGACTGGGAACAGGAGGGGATGAGTCGGAAGCAGTGGAAAGAAAGAAAGAAAGCGGAAAGCGGGAGGGGGAGGGGAGAAGAGAAGGAGCCACAAACCATGCCCGTGAAGCACTGAGCCCTCGAACCGCGGGTGAGACACAAGGTCTTCCAAGGTAGGGGGTGGGGCCGAGCCAGCAGCGCCACCCCAACGTAGCTGCAAAGTAGAGGCGCATGGAAATGCTGGGAAGAGGAAAGGAGGAGCGCCAGCAGTCCGGCAGACCAGGGGCAAGTCAGCTGGCAGCTGATAGGCGAGGACCGCAGCGCCAGCGACAGCGCTTCCGGGCACGCGCTACCAACGACCAGGCCGGTAGGCCTGCACCCAAGCACGAGGTGAAGGTAGCCGGAAGCTGCACGGCGGGCACAGGCACAGGCACGAAAGAACCACAAACCAAGAGGGCAGCCGAAAGGTCGCCAGACTTGGCGGAGATTGGCCAGTGCCAACCCAGCTGTGAGTCGGTGCTGGCAAAAGCACATACGCCCGGTGCCCGGGACAGAGCCCAGCACAACCCACCAAGCAGCCCCAACAACCCACCCTCGAGGCAGACGACGCGCTGCGCAAAAAAAAAAATGCGCGAGGGGCAGCAAGAAGGCACAACCAGGACAAAAGATGCGGTGTGGCCAGCAGTCACGAGAAGGTACCTAGGAGGCTGCGGCTGAGGGATACGCGGGATGGATTCACAAGCCGGCCACCCAGAGAGGGAAACAGAACGCCAGCCTGCACAGGAAGGCAAAATAGCGGAGTGCCAAGACAAAGGCAAGCGCAACACACCGGCAGGTCATAGCAAAAACACCCGCCAGGCAAGCGCCGCAACGCCACTTGCGAGGGGCTTGCTGCCGCGCGAGCAGAATGGGACAAGAAACAAGGAGGGTCGAGCACCGGCTCAGCTGCACCAGCCGGTATGCGCGAGCTGCAATGGTCAGGCCCAACACGGCAGCCAACCAAGGAGGCGCGCGCTCCGTAGGACGCGATACAAAGGGGCACAGTGCCATGCGCGGGCACACGGGGGGATAGAGGCGAAGCACTCTGCCACAAGTTGGCGGGGAACGACAAAATGTGTTGACAAACAATGACAAAAAGAGCCCAGCGCAAAGTCGTGACGACAAGATGTGTAGACAGACAGAGCCAAGGATTACTTAGGTACCTTGGCAGGCTGAGGGATACTGGGACACTGCGCCAGACCGGAACGGCAACCCTCAAGGCACCCCCCCCTCCTACCTACCCGTAAATCCGAGGCGGACGACGCACAGCGCAAAAACTGCACGAAGGCCAGCAAGAAGGCACAACCCGGTAGGGTTGGCGCTGGCCATGAACGGCCAGGACAAAAGATGCGGCGTCGCAAAAAGTTTTCTGCGGCTGAGGGATACGTGGGGACGGATTCACAAGCCGGCCACCCAGAGAGGGAAACAGAATGCCAGCCTGCGCAGGAAGGCAAAACAGCGGAAACACAGGACCGGCAGGTGATAGCAAAAACACCCGCCCGAAGGGCAAGGAGGAGGAGCCACTGAAAAGGATGGGCACGAACGAAACCGACACAGCGGCAAGGCAAACACCGCACTGCGCACTACGGCCATCGATAGCGGATGCCAAGCAAGGAGTTTGGGGAAGGTGGTACGGTAGGCAAACGAAGGCGGAAGGGCAAGCACCACAACCCCACTTGCGAGGGGCTTGCTGCCGCATGAGTGGAATGGAACAGGAAACAAGGAGGGTCCAGCACCGGCTCAGCTGCACCAGCCTGTATGCGCGAGCTGCAATGGTCAAGCCCAACACGGCTGCCAGCCAACCAAGGAGGCGCGCGCCTCCGTAGGACGCGATAAAGGGGCGCGGCGCAGTGCCGTGCGCGGGCACACGGGGGGATAGAGGCGAAGCACTCTGCCACAAGTTGGCGGGGAACGACAGAATGTGTTGACAAACAATGACAAACAGAGCTTAGCGCAAAGGGAACTGGCTCATGACGACAAGATGTGTTGACAAACAGAGCCCAGCACAATGAGAACTGACTCATGGATTACTTAGGTACCTTGGCAGGCTGAGGGATACTGGGACACTGCGCCAACTCTCACGGCACCACCCTCCTCCTATAAAACTTTAACGGCGAAATTTCACTTCCAACTATCACTCGCACTCTTGTTCTCAACGGGCGGTAGGCGGCTTCTGTTCGCAACTACTCTACCTTGTTCACTACCTTGGGGGTAGCTTGAGCCTAGCAGCACAGTTGTGGTGAAAAATGTACCTATTGTTACGCCCTCAACCGAACATCATTCGCTTTGAAATGTGCTTCGGTTTTCTTTTTAAACACATTTTTCTTCAAGGCATCTGCCTTCAGCTCGCTCTTCTCACAAGCGGCCTGTAGCTTAGGCTCCTTGCCTTCACTCCTTTCTCGCATTGCCGAAAAACAACTTCAAACACATGAGGGTGTTTGTGAAACACGATGCAAAATGCATCTCGTTTTGTGAGACTTAAACCTCCTAGGCTGCTCACTGCCCTTTTCCAGCTTGTCCTTTTCTTTTCCTCAACGTCTTCTTCGCAACGGTTCGCTCTCACATCTTCGATTCTCCGATATCCATCGCCTGCTTCGTAGGCGGTTTCAATCCTTCTTCTCGGCTTGCTTTTTCTTCAACTCTTCTTTGCGCCTTTTCTTCTCTTCCTTCTTGGCCTTTTTCTTCCTTCTCCTTTCTCTTCTTTTCCTTCTTCTCAGCCTTCTGTGCCTTCTTCTCAAAGCTTTCTTTTGCGATTCTTGCTTTCTCCATCTTCTCCTCCCTCTCTCTCTCTCTCTCTCTTTGCGCAATTCCGGGAAATTCCAGGTGATCTTTTTCGACTTCTTCTCTTCTTCCTCTTTCTTTCTCTTCTGCTCTTCGTTGAACGCCTTGATAGCTCGCTGATTTCTCTCGTCCTCAGCGGCATTCTTCGCGTCGAGAGCTTCCTTGTCCTTTTTCAACATCTTCTCGAGCTCTTTCTTTTTCTTTTCCTCTTTCTTCTGATTCTTCTTCTCTGCCTCGGCATTCGCTTCTGCGATGAATGCTGCCATTTGGGATATGTGTTTACTCATGGTTGTTTACAGTTTGAGAAAGATCATCACGCTTTGATGCTTATGGTTCAAGCCACACACACCATGCAAGAGTAGCATCAGAGCATTGCTTGGATAGCTTTGTCTTTTGCTTTTGTAAGATCTCTCATGTGTGCCTAGCTTAGTGGGGCGGGGTAGCTTGCAGTTCCTCACGCCCGTGAGAAGACCTGCCCACAGGGGCGCACATGGACTGCGTTGGCCTGTGAGCCATCAGGTGCACCGCAAGGTTCCAACACAAACCTTGGCATTCTGGCTTGCGTTTTTGGTGCAGCTTCCAAGTGAAGCCCGGCATGGCAGCTTGCAGTGCTTGCTTTTCGAAACTATTTCGACAAGTGCTTCGAGACTGTAGCATTGCGTGCAGTCCTTCTGTTATGGAACAATTTCATCCAGTACTTGGATGATGTGGTTTTGCAGTCTTTGAGCTTTGGAGACGCTCTCAAACAGAGCCTGGTGAATGTGGCCTTTTCCTGGCAGCTTGCAGTTCTTGCGTTTCAGGGTCGCTTTCAAATAGTTTTGGAGTGTGTGGCCTTGCTTGGCAACTCGCGGTCCTTGAGCGTCGGAAGCAATTTTCACCGAAGCTCGGAGGATGTGGCCGTGCCTGGCAGCTTTCAGTCCTTGAGCTTCCGAGGCTGTTTCAACCAGAATTTGGCGCAAGTGACCTTGCCAGGCAGCGCGCAGTCCCTGAGCTTTTTAAATTGGTTCAAAATAGAGCTTAGTGAATGTGGCCCCGCCGGGCAGCTTGCGGTCCTTGAGCTTCGGGCGTCATTTCAGTGGGAGCTTTGAGCATGTGGCTTTGCCTGGCAGCTTGCATTCAGAGCTTTGGTACCCATCTCAGCCAGAGCCTGGGGAAAGTGGCCTTGCTTGGCAGCTTGCAGTCCTTCAGCTCCGGACATTGGCTCAAACAGTTTGGATAGTGTGGCCCTGCCGGGCAGCCTGCAATCTTTGAGCTTGCTTCAACCAGAGCTTGGAGAGTGTGGCCTTGTCTGGCAGCTTACATCTTGTAGCCTTGTCCTGCCTCACGACACGTCAACGTTCTGCTCGAGCACCTTTGGCCAGGTTTGAATGTGGTCGGGCCAGATGATCACATTGGGCTTGCTTTCAGCCAGAGCTTCAAGAATGTGACCTTGCCTAACAGTTTGCAGCCTCTGAGCTTCGGTGGTTTGTTAGACCATAGCTTGTCGATTATGGCCTTGCTTGGCAGTCTGCAGTCCTTGACCTTCGGAGTTTCTGTCAAGGAGAACGTGGCTTTGCTTGGCATTTTGCAGTCCTTCAGCTTCGGAGGCTCGTTCAACCAGAGCTTCAAGAGTGTGGCCTCTCTGGCAGTTTGCAGTCCTTGTGCTTCGGGTACGCCTTCAACCAGAGCTAGGAAACTGTGACTTTGCATGGCAGCTGACAGTCCTTGAGCATCGGACAGTCTTTCACAGTCTTTCATTCAGAGCTTGGCGAATGTGGCTTTGCCTGACAGTTCGCAGTCCTTGAGCATCGGCTCTTCGTTCAACTAGAGCTTATAGAATGTGGCCTTGCATGGCAGTCTGCAGTCCTTGTATTTCAGAGGTGCTTTCAACTAGAGTTTGGGGCAACCAGAGCTTGGAGAATATGGCTTGGCTGAGCAACTTACAGTCCCTGAGCTTTGTATTCTTTCAACCAGCGCTTGAAAAAATGTGGCTCTGCCTGGCAGTTTGCAATCCTTGAGCTTCGGGGCGTTTTTACCTGACATTTCCCAGCACCCTGCAGACGTTGACCTTTGGACATGACCTCAACCAGAGCTTGGAGGGGGTCCAGGGCGAAGGTCCCCCCACGTACTGCAGACATTGACCTTCGGACGCGCCTTCAACCAGACCTTGGAGGGCGTCTAGCCACCCAGCATGCTGCGGGCATTGATCTTTGGGTGGGCGTTCATCCGGAGCTTGCGGGGGATCAGTTTCCCAGCACCCTGCAGAAATTCACCCTTACAGGCTCCTCACTACGCTCCTGGCCCTGCCAGCAACCCTTAGAGGTTTCTCACGGCGCTCCTGGCCCGGCCAGCAACCCTTACAGGCCCCGCACTGCGCTCCTGGCCTGGCCAGCAACCCTCAGAGGCCCCGCACTGCGCCCCTGGCCCTGCCAGCAACCCTTAGAGGGCTCTCGCTGCGCTCCTGGCCAGCAACCCTTAGAGGGCTCTCACTGCGCTCCTGGCCCGGCCAGCAACCCTTAGAGGGCCCTGTACTGCGCTCCTAACCTTTGCCAGCAACCCTTAGAGGTCTCTCACTGCGCTCCTGCCCTTACAGGCTCCTCACTGCGCTCCTGGCCCTGCCAGCAACCATTAGAGGTCTCCCACTGCGCTCCTGGCTCGGCCAGCAACCCTTAGAGGCCCCGCACTGCGCTCTTAGCCTGGCCAGCAACCCTTAGAGGCCCCGCACTGCGCTCCTGGCGCTGCCAGCAACCCTTAGAGGGCTCTCACTGCGCTCCTGGCCCGGCCAGCAACCCTTAGAGGGCTCTCACTGCGCTCCTGGCCCGGCCAGCAACCCTTAGAGGCCCCAAACTGCCCTCCTAACCTTCAACCCTTAGAGGTCTCTCACTGCGCTCCTGCCCTTACAGGCTCTTCACTGCGCT